GATGAAATAAACAAAGCTATAGGTATCTAGCTGATTTAAAGATCAACATGTCCGACTTCTCTTTAGCTGTGATTCACGCTAGTATATTACTTTCATTGGAAGTCTATTACCATTTGCAGCTTGTATTCCCTGTAACAAGAGACACTGACCCCATGATAATGAAATCAAGACGGCAGACAGCTTGCTCTGAATTTCCAGTATTTTCAGGTCCATGACACAAATTGTTCGGGACAGAGTGCTTGCATACTATAACGCTGTCTCTTAAGGCGAAAGCAACACACACATGCATGTATACACACACAGGCACAGGGTAAAGAGGAGACAGCGGTGTGCTGTCAGCCACAGAGGCTGATTTATCCTCTGTCGCTGCTCTCATTCCTGTCCTGCAGACCACAGGCATGAGGGATGCCTTTAATTTCCCATTAAAATGCCCTGGAACAAGTGAGGGCTGAGGCTGCAGTGTGTGTCACTGTCTGTGTGTGTGGATAGCTTGATTACACCGGGTGACAGTGCTAGATGTGTGTTTGTGCACGGCGGTTGGCAGTGGCGTTTCTCAGGAAGCGGTAATGTTAGCGCACATCATTCCGCATGACATGGGCCGCAGCTCCAGGGCCAGGCCCATCGATAAATATTAATGGCCGAGAACAAGTGGATTGGGAGTTGAGTTATCAGGGCGGGCCTTCCTAATTGACATTTTACCTGCTGTATACCTTAACAGGGCTGTAAAGCAGCAGGCTCAGCCATGGGGGGGGATGTGTCACTCATCTCTGCCCCATCATGCTGCCTTCCTCTGGGAGAGAGGAGCTCCGCCGCTCATTGTTCACATTCAGCACCGAGCGGTTATATATAGCCTTTTAACATCAGGACAGTATTACAGTTCCATTTAGATGAAGAAAGATACAGTTACAAACACAGCTCCCTGCACTGCGTCACTGACAGCAGCTTGCATTTGGAAGGATTTGATCTGTTTTAGCTCAGCAAATCACAAGAAACAGTTCATTTCAGATCCACTTTTCTGGCTAAATACATTTTCACAGCCAGAGTTCAAACTTTCAAAAGCTTAAAGTGTGTTATATAATCCATTTCTACATTATTTAAAATAAATAATTCGATTTACTGTCGCACACTGATGGACTTTACTATACTGTGATGTTTTCTGTAGTTCACTTGTTCTGCGGTTGTTTCTGTCCTCCTGCCCAGAGACCCCAGATGCTCCTAGCCAACTCTGGTGCCATTCATTTTTAATTGTACAAGTATAAACTAAACAGTAATAATCAAATAAAAGTAAAGAAATGCACCTGTTAATTTGATGTCAATGCCAATGTTATGCTGCATCATTTCTCAATGCATCTTTTGGTCCAGAAAATGACAGAACATAGAGGAAAGTAGGGATAAACCAAAATAAAGAGTCAAATGGTAGGACCGGATATCTGTGGGCCAATTACATTTTTGTATTTTCATACTTTATAAATGATGGGCTGGAATGTTAATACCTTTTCTTTTTTAACAGGTTTAAGCTTCAATTGTAAATTCTGAGGATTTTGTAGTTGTGTACAATTCAGTTTTTTAATTTAGAAAAACATCTCAGAAAATGTATATCTGTGTATATACTTGGTGAATTATGTTTGACTCAAACTTAATGTTGCCTTAAAAATAAAAGCATGATCCTATTTATTACACATTGAGGCATTCAGCATTTGAAAAACACCTTAAAGTGACACATTCAAATTGCTTGTTTTGTCCAATCAACACTACACAACACAATTACATTCAATGTAGTATCATAGAAGAGAAAAGCCAACAGATATCCACATCTGTTGGCCTGGAAACTTGAGCTTTTTTGCTAGAAGAAAGTTGCTGTTAAAATGTTGCATCGATTGTTTCACACATTATGTTTCCCTCTTCAATCACAGTTACATCAAAAAAAGAGTCTCTCATAACAGAATTTCACATGTTCATTTATCAATCGCATTCTTCTCTTTCACTGCCAGAGAATGGCACTTCAAACACACTCTCACACTGGGAAGGCATGTAAACAATCTCAGAGGCCTTTAGCATACACTCGCCACATTACTACACTCATCCAAAAATATTCTACTTCCAAAGAAGATACACGCACATAACTGCAGACAAAACACAATCATACAAAGCGGACCCACACAAGTGTCCCCACTTACATTATCTGAAAATGGACAGGCGGGGCAGACAACAAACAATTATCCCCGGAGCACGGGGGGAGAGAAATCGAAGATTGAGAAAACAAATATGGGTGATGTGATCAAAGCCAAATGGCAGGCCCTGTGTGAGAAAGACTGGAGAGTCTATTCATATTTACTGTTGCCAGGATTTCAATATCAACATCATAGGAAGCACATCAGATGTCTCCCTTTCCACTGACTGATTCACAAAGCATGAGCTGCCATCTCTATTTGATGAAAACGAAAATACAACAAAAAGGTTAATCCATAGACAAACACCATTAAATAAACAGCTCATAATGCCGGGGATATTAGCGGCACTTATATGAAATGGCAGATAATTATATTTTCTAAAGGCCAATGTTTGTAATATTTTTTTGAAAAGAGCAAATGTGACTCAGTGGTTGCTGTGATTTATGAGCGTTTGTGGAGATGCAGTGTAGCGTTGTAATAACACCAAAAACCATGGAGGAGAACCAAACACACACACACACAAGTCTGATTACAGACAAAGTGGGGCCAACCTACCACGCAGGGACCTCTCTTGATATGTTATTCTTCAGTCTGTGTTTTCCAAATAATCTCCCGGGATTGCAGACATAATCGATTTATTTACCCGTACTCTGTCAATTAAGCATCAGATATAAAACTGCACTGCAATTTTGGAACACATTGCTAAAGTCCTCTGCTACTGCTGTGCCACTGAGTATCTGGCGCCACCAAGAGGCCACATTCAAAACATCTATTCAGCTGTAATACAAGCAAATTCAAAGAAAAGGCTAAGTCTCTAAGATTGAATTTTGTGTATAGATAACCACATTATATTTAAACATGATAGTATTATTAATGTTTAAGTTAAAGAAGAAACTTGCTTATTTATATAAGAAGAAAGTAAAAATATGAATCTTTTAAATGTCAATGTGACATATGACCCTTTCTCGGACTCAAAATCGGACATTTGCAAAACTTGTATTTTATTACAAAGCTTTTGTATACATTCCTTTAATATCGAACTTCACTGTATTGGAAATGTATGAAACTGTAGATAATGCTAAGGATGTTCTGCTCATAAATCCTAACCATCACTAAAGATTCAGTCCCAGAACATCTGAAGTTTTAACAGAGCTCTGACATCAGAATTATTTCCAAGCATCTACTGCCATCTTGTGGCCATCTGCTGTTACTATACATCAAGGCAAAAGTGGCAGGCAATGGAACAGTGCAGTCTATTGGTAAAGGGATCTTAAAATAGAAGTTCAGTCTTGAATATGATTAAATCACTGAATGGGATTACCAGAACAGGCCCAAAATAACTTAAGGGTCCGGGACCCCCTGACCTTCATTTACACAATGTCACTCAAAGATACACGTACAGACCAGGAAGAGACTCAAGATGAACAGAAAAAGACAGAAAAAAGTTATAAGGATACCAAAACAACTACAACAGCTGTGAAACAGCTGCAGAGAGACACGAACAGGCTGCAGAGAGACACGAACAGGCTGCAGAGAGACACGAACAGGCTGCAGAGAGACACGAACAGGCTGCAGAGAGACACGAACAGGCTGCAGAGAGACACGAACAGGCTGCAGAGAGACACGAACAGGCTGCAGAGAGACACGAACAGGCTGCAGAGACTTCAAACGAGGGAGGGGGAAACAACCAATGACTACAAAGAGGGGCAAAACAACTACAAAAAGAGGCAAAACCGTGGGGTCAACTACAAAACATCTACAAAGTGTTGTGAAAGATACACAAAATATCACACAGAGACATAACACCACAGGGAGAGGTGTAACAACGAGACACAAAACAATAACAAAAAAGGTTGCACAACTATAACGTCTGTGTGTCTTTGTTCTGTTTAGGAGAGGACATTTCAACTCCACGGCTTCTATGCACAATACAATACCATACTCCATTGAATGATGTTATTGTTGTTTCTTCATCATTCACCATTGAAAGTTGGTGGTTCTTTTGTCATGCGTGTCTGTTGGTGCTGTAGTTAGACCTTGACGTAAAACCCCTTAATAATACATCATTGAATCAGATTTGATTGTAAGCCATTCAAATTGAGTTTGAGTTGAACTTACACGCACGTCGAATGGACCTAACGTTTTCAGACATTGTCCTGATTTAAGCGCTGTGATCACAAAATGACTCGTGCGCCTGTCTGAGATGTTTCTCTGTTAGTGATCTCAGAGACAAAAGGGTATTTTGGAATTAAAGATTTAGTTCAAACGTGTAATAGTTTAATAACAAAAACAATAGAGAATGAACAGGCTTGTATCATGTGATCACTGATCTAAAACTGAACCTATATTCAAACATGTTGACACTGTAATGTATATTTTGGGTTACAATGTTTTGTATGTGTGATGTAACTTACTGTTTGTGCTTCTTTTTTTTATTGTATAGTGTATTTATTGTTTTGTACTGCATGTTTACTTCCTGTCCAGGGGACTATTGATGCAAATTAGCAGTCGTGTCGTGCTTGGCCACTGTTAAATAAACTAATACAATTACATTTGTGTCTAATTTGACAAAAATCTTTAAAATTCTGCAGTATGTTTTCCTGCTTGTAGTAGAATAATGTTTTGTGTTCTAATTCTATTCAGCGTAATTCAGTTGTGGCTGAACAGTCCCGGATAAAATCCTGGTGTAAGGATATATAATAGAAAAATAAGAAAAATAAATAATAGTAATCTCGATGTATTTCTCATTTAACACATATACGCTTGAAAGATGAAACCACTTTAAATGCAAGGGCTTTGTGCACCACCAACACATCAAAGAGCACTTACTGTGAAATGCTCCTGGGATTTGTAGTTCTCATCGAGGTAGACGCGGGCTCTGTTGTACTCCTTCATCACATCACTGGACAACAGCTCTCTGATGGACAGAACACACACACACATGCACACACACATCAGTCAATGTCAATACAATCTACCTCATTGAATTTCAATAAATAAATAAAACACTTATTTCCTACTTATATATAAGTACAATGAATTAAGCATCCTATGTTTATATTTTAGTAGTAGGTTGGTCTATTTAAGTGTTACATTGTATGCTGCATGTTCTACAGATACTCTATAGATTTGAATTGTCATATTGTTGATTTGTATATAGTCTTCATTTGTATGCTCTTTATTATTACTTCTTCATTTTTGTTCAACTCATGTGGAAAAGAAACCACTTAAAATATATATAACCTTTATCACACTAACAATTTTAGATACAGATCAAAGACTACATCATAGTATAAATGACAGAATACTGAATCAATTGAAGCACTTAGTTAGTGATGGAAAGACTGGCTCCTCAAATCACTGAGTGGAAATTCATTCTGATCCTACATGTACACTATTAGCATATTGTTTAAGGCCAACAACATGTGTTGCTGTGCCGATGTACAGCTGGGATGCCACCAGTGGGGGGAGCAGTCCTCCACTTTACAACACACTTTACTCCTGCATGTTCCACATCGGGAGGGGGTTTCCCTCATGGAAACTGCTCAACTATTAACATAATCAACTAAAACTATTATGAAAATGACAAGATGAAAAGGGCATGAGCAGGATACTCACTTGACAAAACTATCCACGTGGGACATGGACGCCTCATAGTTCTTCCCCCCCACCTCCTGACAGTGCAATGCAAAGAAGTGAGGCTTGTGTGTCTGTATTGTCTGTAAGAAAGAGGAAAAACACAGATGAGCATTTCAAAAGGGACAAACCCTTCCACTCTACTTGTCAGTACACCACACCAGCTGTTACAGCACATTTGCTCAAACTAAATAAACCTTGAGCTGAATTATTCAGTCGTGCGCAAAAACCTAAATGAGCCGGGCGCCTGGGGCTCCACAACTCTTCCTAACTCAACTGTGTGACATGCTACTATATTTACACAAGACAAAGTGCCTTGCTAATGTAGGCAGAAGGCACTTAGAGAGCTTGTTCCACAAGCGTAACAGCGACACCTCTTCATCCAGCGTCAGGAGGGCCTGCAGCTCAGTGTGTACAGGGTGTGAGGGACCATCACACATCACTGCACCTGCTGACACATCACTGTACCAACAACAACAACAACTGCAGGATTATGGAAGGAATGCTTATCAGAATGTGGAATAGACTCCAGCATATACAGACTACTGTAGAAATAGGTTAAGATTAAGAAGTACTTTATTCATCTTTATGGGGAAGATTACCTTATATACAAAGGCCACAACACACATGCGTTTGTGGTTTGGTGGCACTGGAGGCGAACAAGCACCTCTCCAGCTACCTGTTGCAGTGTGTATGGTCCATGGGCGGTTCTGGGGGGGCAAGCCACCAGGGGCCAGGGGCCAGGGGCCTGGTAACAATAAGCGCGGCCCATCCAGAAAGAATAGTCTATATTAATACTAATTCTAATAGTGTTGCTTCAAAAACTGTGCGGCAACTTGAGCCAAAGTTGTGCTAATGGTTTGCCTTTAAAATTGTAATTTAATAAAAATGTGTACCCAAGTAAATGTAAGACATTTTTGGGCATATTGTGCCAATGTGACAGTGTTGAATGGGGGAATCAGAGGGGATGACAGATGGCGATTGGTCCCAGGCGGGATTCGAACCCACCCAGGTCTTCTGCATGGGGAGCAAGCCCCAGGACGGCCAGCTCTACCAACTAGACGGACAACATTTTAACGAAGTTATTGCCACAAATTCTGTAACTGAAACAAATACCAAACATGCTTTTTATGGGTTTTTTGTACAGTTTGACTTTATACTGAATAAAATGTATTTTCATCCCACATTAAATGTGCCCCTCTCAAAAAAGAACTGGCAGCAAAGCCCCCGGTAAAATGGTTCTTGACCCTTCGGTTCCCAAGCCAGGTCCTTACAGACTGAGCAGCTGCTGCCACTAAGGTATTCAGAATGTAATGCAACATTTGATTGCATCGCGCATCAAGGTAATGATAACAACAACAACTAATTATAAAATGATATGGAGAATATTTGAACTGACTTAATATCAGAAATGAGATAACTAAACTGTGCCCTGCTGAACATTAGATGTTCTCTGGAGCAGGATGTCTGCTTTGTTAATCAGCAAGAGTGAATTTAAAACAAATGTTATACAATTTCACATATGCTAGTCCACGTACTTGTGTTTATACATTATTACAGTAAGCTGGTTTTTATTCCACTGTACAGTATTTCAATTAGATTCTGTTTCATTTGATTCTATTTGACTTATTCCTGCATTGTACTTGCACCATTGTATGGTTTGCACTATTTGATGTCTTTTTCTTTTATGCCTTAAGTAAAGTAAAGTCAGTAACTAAAGATGTGCATTGCCATCAACTACGCTGTAGCTATGAATATGACAACATCTTTGAATCAAGAATATATTTTCCATGATCTGATCATCTCTAATTTCCACAGCCCTGCTCACCAAGACCTTTTGTTATTGTTATTTTAAATGTGCACTGATTCTGTTACTTTAAACTGGATGAATACATTTCAAAAATAAATGAAAAGACACAATGTTTCATTTATCTTTGGCACAGGTCTGGCATTTCACATGTGCTGTGACGTACCTCTACAGAAGAAGATTAGGGCCACATGTGAAAGATCTTTTGAGATCTGACCAAAAGTTATTTCGTTTTTAGTTCTGAGTTTAGAGAAGAAAAGTCAGAATTCTGAGAAGATTCTGACTTGTTTAACTTTAATGTCAGTATTCAGATTATCTTTCTCAGAATTCAGTTGTTTTTCTCAGAATTCTGACTTTACTCTCAGAACCCCAAAAAACAAAAAAAGACTTTTGGCCAGATCTCCAAAATGTTTTCACATGTAGCCCCAACCCTCTTCGCTATACCTCCTACTGGAAAGTATGAAAAAAGCCTATCTGCGGTTGACATAAAAAGGTGGTTACACGCTGCATATAAAGTAAAAAGTGGTAACGTTCACTTCCTGCAAGATATCCCATCCAGTCACGTGACCTCATGTTGCTCTCCTTCAACATTCCCTCCTCACAGAGCGAGGTGTTTGTGAGCGCCCTGTCAGAGGTGTTCAGGGCGGCTGACCTCTAATGGAAAAATCAATAGCAGGGGGTGATTTACAGCACTCACAAGCACTCACAGGGTCGGGCCTATGGATGGTGGCAGAGAACATACATCACTGTCACTGGGTGCTGGGGGGGGGGCTGGAGGAGCGACAAATGGTCCCTGGACCCCGACGGAGCCCTGCTACTTCACCAGCGCCCCGCCTCACGGTTGCATTATGCTCACTACAGGCCCAATCAAATAAAAGTAATGTATGGCAATAACACTATGGATTTTCCATCAACCTATGGCTTGTCACTTAGCCCGATGACCCAGCAGTGGGACCTGCAGCGGCTCAAACTTGGAAAGATTAGTGGACCTATCAAGTCACGATGGAAAAGGTCACATTCTCAAGGAGCTTGCAACTAATGTCAGGCTGCAATGTGACGTGTGGGGGGTGTGTGTGTGTGTGTGTGTGTGTGTGTGTGTGTGTGTGTGTGTGTGTGTGTACTGCGTTAATCGACTGCATTCTATGTATCTTTCCAGGCTGTAAATGCAGGTTGGCAAACAGACAGCATCCAGGTGGTCATTTCATTACTAGAATCACCCATGCTTTCAGAAACCAAAACCAAACAGCATCAACCTTACTTTACTTTGGCAAAGAACAACGCCGTGACCAATATCCAATTAGAGGAACCGCTGTCAGCAAAGAATTCTGTTGACATTTCAGGTGAGCATTGACCGACATATTGACATGCCAAATATTGTATCTATATAACATGATTTAATGATGGCTAACAGTAGTGGCCTCTCTAAACAGCCCTCAGACGGTGACAGCTGCTATGGCAGAGCCGAGGACAGCCTGACTCACAGAAAGCTGCCATATGGGAGCCTTTCTCAACCTGACGCTGATGTGTTTGATATGGAGGTGTGTCCTCTCATCATCCCTCTTGTTCTGTCTTCTTCTTTCCAACGCAACATTGACATGTCAAGGATGTTCCAGGTCCTATTTGTCTAAATCGTACATTTGTAGAACTTTGAATTTGCCAAACATTCAGAGGATGTTTGGCAAAGGAGTAAATTCTAGGACTAATATTAGGACAAAATACAATGAAACAGACATATAACATCAGTCTAACCTTAATAAATCGTGGCACCATGTTTGTCCAATTTGATGGTTCAACAATTCATATCATACCTAGGACATAGGTATAGTTTAGGTTCTCGTGACATCTCAAGCCTGTCTACAAACCAATCAATTGATAGTATAGACGGTCTGAGCTCAAGACGTTGATGCGTTAGGTCGTAGCATCACGTATGGTACTTTGCAGTGCTAGAACATTTGCATTGTGAAACTAAAAGCGAGCAGTTAAGGCAGGGGTGTCAAACTCAAGGCCCGGGGGCCAAATCCGGCCCGTGACTTCATTTTCTGTGGCCCCACAAGAGCTTGCAAAGAATATAATATGTTTATTATACGGTTACATGCCGATTTACAGAAGCACGTTGCCCATAAACTACATGTCCCACAATGCATCTCAAATTAGACTTTTTTTCTTAGAATTTGACTCTATTTCAAAATGTTACTTTTTTTTCAAAATGTCACTTCCTTTTTTTTTTTTTACTTTTTTTCCAGAATTTGGCTTTTCTTTTTAAATCATTTTGTGACATGCGCACTGAAGAGACTTGCAATTATTTGCCCCAGACTTCTGCCTTCAGACGTAGTTAATTGTGAAGTTATTACCCTATCCCATAATAATCCAATGCAGAGGCAAACATGTAATATAATACATTATTTTATATATATTAAATATGTATATATGTATTTTTATATAGTCTTAAAGTTACAACCGGCCCTTTGAGTGCAACCATAATGCTAATGTGGCCCGCGATGAAATTGAGTTTGACACCCCTGAGTTAAGGTAATGTAACAAAATCACATTCCTTAGGTTCAAACTTTGGTTGGGTTTTTCAGGGCCCTGAAAGTAGCTGAGCTGCAAGGCTGAAAACAGTTTGAGTTTATCAACTAATATTAGTAAAAAAGAGGTCTTTCAGTATATTTTTAACCCAAACCAGCGATTTATGTTCTGAAAGGAATCAATTTGATGGGCAAAGTCAGCTGGACATTAGATCACCCCTTGCAAGGGTTATACTTGCTTCCAAATAAATAAATAAAACAGCTTTCTCATGTTGCAATGCGTCAGAGACTGGCTCAACTGATTTCTGACGCCGGTAATTGATATTTCCTGAACTTGTTATCCTTTATTTATACATGTATGCCAATAAATACACGTTTTTGTTCTTACAGTTTCTAGCCTTAATAATTAGGTTAGAGGTCAAGAACGGCAATGCAGACCAGATCATCTTCAGACAGAGAGGGTCTTTGATGAGACTAATCAGGACAGCCTGAGTCTCATTTCATGGTTCCTATTTGGAGGTGGGAAATAATCACAGGGATGAGAGGAGTATGTGAGCTGACGTACAACAACTGAGGCTTCATGATACAATCTGGAGTCCTCACTTTATCTGCACTATCTGCTGTTGTAATAATACAAATGTCCCCGTTGTGGGACAAATAAAGGAATTCGGATTCAGATAAAATACTAAGCAATCTAACATAAGTCTGTTTGTTTGCCTTCGATCTGCGCTGTAACTTTGCTGTTGTAATG